ATTCACCTCGAGTTCCTTGCGCCACCTATCCGATGCGATAAGATGCTATGAATCCTGATGAGTCCTGATCGACTCCATTCGGCCTCTATGATGGACCACACAGTGCAGACGAGGCCATGCCTCAGCAGCTGCACGTAGACGGCGATCGGAGGGAACAAAAACAAGGGTACTGCTGCCATGTTCCTTTATATAAGCATTCCTGCAACACACAAGAAGTACAAAAGCCTGGTATATAAGCAGATGTAAGTAGAGCTAGTATGAGCTAGCAGCTAGCAGTGTGATATGGTTGCACCAACTCGCATCACCAGCAGTGATAAAGAAACCACTTGTCCTCACAAAGAAGGTCAGGCACGTCAATGAATCTAAAGGGGCGCTGCCCTCTTTGCCAATCAAACCACCAACATGTAAATATGCCACAAGTGGAGCGTCTGGGCATCAGAACAATTGCTTTTCTTCTGCCCAGTCGCTCGACTGCTGCCTTTTGGGTGGCAGCCGCCAGATTCTTGCGTCCCTTTTCCGCCACCACACCACCTCAGCATCTTCCCACTTCCACCGCGCCGCGCCGAAGAGCAAGAATGGTGTGCTTGCCAAGTTAAGGTTCATGTATCATTGCATGGCTATAATGATCATCAGATATCATCCGTTCATCTGTTTCATGATCATCGAACAGAACTCAGTTCGATGGTCAGGCTGAGTGGAACTACCCAAAATCTCTGCGCTCACTGGGCTGAGTGGCTCAAGATAAAATCCAAGCTTGACACCTGGCAGCGGCGTGGCAGGAACACATTGCGACCGTGGCAGGGTTCCTGGGAATCCTCCAGTTCGTGTTCCATCGGCGACAGGAGAACTTGACATACACCCCGAGTTTCACCCAGTAAACTGGTCATTCAGTGGTCATTGCTTGTCACACCTCCGGATCGGACGAGCGCTCTCTTCGTCGGACGCATGCCTTGAGGCTTTCAGGATCTGAGAAGGTGCCAACCACCTCAGCCCACGCGTTGCGGAAGGTCTCATCCAGCTCTGAAGGAGAGCAGGAGTCGATGCGGACCATGCGGTGCGTTGGTGATGGGGAAAAAGGGCGACACCGGTGGAACCAGCCTGAACTCAGCGGGGTGTACGGTATTTCAATGTATTTCATGGCATGTCCATCTGTTCAAGTCCCTTACAACCCAAGTCCCTTACTACCTCATTGGTCCCAAATGATGTAGCTCAAGAACAGTGCAAAGATCGACGCCCTGCACTTCGACTGCTTGGTTTCACGCGGCGATACGCCCCCCAAAGCATCACACGTATCATGCGGGGCTCCGAACTTGCACCCAATGCTGCGGACCTTGTTGGGCGTTGGCAATGTCTGCAAAAATAGACCAGGAGTTCCAAAGGACAACTCACAACAACAACAACAACAACAACAACAACAACAACAACAACAA